AGTCTACACCACCAAGAATCACTTACTTGTAAGTCATAAGATCAATAGTCACAGACACTATTCAAGATCTGTTAGTAATGGTGATCATTTACACTTTTGAACTTTTTTTTTGTACATATCACCAGAAACTTGTCTTCTAGTGGTCTAACTGGAACCATAGCGGTTTACATTCAGAATCTCACACAACTAGAAACTCTGTAAGTATGTTCAGCTTTGATATGAGGAAATAAAATTATATCTGGATGAATTCTAATTTTTTTACTCAATGTTAAACACACTAGGGACTTGTCTAATAATAATTTGACTGGAGAAGTGCCAAAGTTTCTAGGCAACATGAAATCGTTGGTGTTCATGTAAGTCTCCCTTTTCTACGTAATTTTCTAATGCTTTTCAGATTCCACCTAAACCATGTCCGTAGTTTGTTTTTGTTATATTATTTAACTTTTATTTTGAACAGAAACTTAAGCAGGAACGATCTTAGTGGTTTGATTCCTCAGGCTCTTCAGAGGGAAGGACTGTTAGAGTGAGAAACTTATGATGCAGATTTTGGTTATTTCTCAGTTATTTGTGTAACTAATGTCTTGAAAAAAAAAACATTTTCTTCTTGTAGTCATCAAGGGAACCCAAGACTTTGTCTCTCTGATTCATGCCTACCTCCCAAACCCAAGCCATTTCCAGTCGCAATTGTGGCATCTCTTGCGTCGGTGGCCATGATTCTTATTGTTTTGGTACTTACTTTTGTTTTAAGGAGGAAAAAACGGTCAAGTTTAGGAGGTAATTTGCAAGAAAACAAATCCAACAACTATACATAGCTTATAAATAGTTTAGTTTACATCCCTGAACTTTTTCTTTTGCACAGCTCTACAACGGACACCTTCTACATCGTCAGCTTTGAACGTCACAAATACTAATTCACCTGTTTCATCGATCCATATGAATAAGAGAAGGTTTACTTATTCAGAGGTCACTGATATGACAAATAACTTTCAAAGAGTTGTTGGGGAAGGAGGATTCGGTATTGTCTATCACGGTACTTTAAATGTTAATGAACAAGTAGCTGTTAAACTGCTTTCTCAATCATCAACACAAGGCTATAAGCAATTCAAGGCAGAAGTATGCATACCTGCTTTTTTTTTTGTTTCTTGAAAAGTTAATGAGTATCCTTAGCATCACAAGTTTATATGGATTATGTGTGTGGTTTTTCGATGGATGATTAGGTTGATCTTCTTATGAGAGTTCACCACACAAATTTGGTAAACTTGGTAGGATACTGTAATGAAGGAGATCATTTGGCTCTAATATACGAGTATGTGCCCAATGGAGACCTAAAGCAACATCTGTCTGGTAAACTTTAAAAACATTTCAAATGTAACAATAGCTAATGAAACCATTATATAAATGGATCTAAGTATTTGAGATACAGGTAAAGGAGGTAGATCCATTATCCACTGGGGTATTCGACTACGAATAGCCTTGGAGGCTGCATCAGGTTTGTTTACAATTAAGCCATAAACAAGGAATTAATTCTTTTTTGTTCCATTTTTAAAGCAATGATAGAAGAATCCATTCCACAGGTTTGGAGTACTTACACACTGGGTGCATACCAGCAATGGTTCATAGAGATGTAAAAACTACAAACATATTGTTGGACGAGCAGTACAAGGCCAGGCTTGCTGATTTTGGGCTGTCGAGATCTTTCCCCGTTGGAGGTGAGTCTCATGTTTCGACGATGGTTGCTGGCACTCTTGGATACCTTGATCCCGAGTAAGTATTGTTAGTTAATGTCACAATTTGGATGTTTTATTTTCCTTTTTTTTAATGGTTGAAGAATTCATGTCCGCCATGCAGATATTACCGTACAAATCGGTTGACGGAGAAGAGCGATGTGTACAGTTTCGGGATTGTGTTATTGGAGATGATCACAAACCAACCTGTGATTGACCAATCCCGCGAAAGGTCTTATCTAACACAATGGGTTGGGTTTGAGCTCATTAGCGGAGATATTAGGAGTATCATGGATCCAAACCTTCAAGGAGACTATGACTCTCACTCTGCCTGGAGAGTTCTTGATTTGGCAATTTCATGTACAAATCCTTCTTCCACAAAACGTCCAAGCATGTCTCAGGTTGTTATGGAACTAAAGGAGTGTATTGCGTCTGAAAACTCGAGGAGAAATACGAAAAGAGGCAGGATGGAGTCTCATAGTCCCGTTAAAGTGAGCATGCTCATTGACACTGGGATATTTCCCGAGCCGAGATAGTTTGAGCTGCAAGTGACATGTAAAAAAAAGTCATAGCCTTGCGTCTGAACTCGAGGAGAATATGCTTTGATCATTGACATGTAGTGTCTTTGTGATTGTTTTTGCTTACTAATGAACCATGAATGTGTGTTGTGTAAAATCTTGAGTGCCATGCTGTGAATGTTATTGGGATGATTATTGATTACTATTTTGGATACATAAATATGGCTTGAAGATATGATTCAATTTTTTTTTAAAAAGAAAGGAAATTCATCTTGGAATTAGCTTTAGATAAATGATTCTCATTTGAGTGTATGTAACTAAAATATAAAACTTTAGTATTGACAAATTTAAAATTTACATATGATTATTTTTATATATATTTGGAATTTTTATATAATTATCTATACGTACGATAAAAAACAATTGTGATTAAAACTGTAGATCAAAATTTAGAATTTAATAAGTCAGGTTCATATATCTTTTCACTTTTCAATATTCGAGTGATGGAAAATAAACGGAGTGTCACATGACTTAATTGGTAGAGCATTATCAAGTTCCCTAATATTTTCTTAAGAAGCATTTAGTAGAATATTTGCATTTAGAATATATAAACTTTCCAAACTAATTTAATATAATTTATTTATTTGTCTAATAATATAATTTATAACTGATTGTTTTTGCTTACTAATGAACCATGAATGTGTGTTGTGTAAAATCTTGAGTGCCATGCTGTGAATGTTATTGGGATGATTATTGATTACTATTTTGGATACATAAATATGGCTTGAAGATATGATTCAATTTTTTTTAAAAAAGAAAGGAAATTCATCTTGGAATTAGCTTTAGATAAATGATTCTCATTTGAGTGTATGTAATTAAAATATAAAACTTTAGTATTGACAAATTTAAAATTTACATATGATTATTTTTATATATATTTGGAATTTTTATATAATTATCTATACGTACGATAAAAAACAATTGTGATTAAAACTGTAGATCAAAATTTAGAATTTAATAAGTCCGGTTCATATATCTTTTCACTTTTCAATATTCGAGTGATGGAAAATAAACGGAGTGTCACATGACTTAATTGGTAGAGCATTATCAAGTTCCCTAATATTTTCTTAAGAAGCATTTAGTAGAATATTTGCATTTAGAATATATAAAGTTTCCAAACTAATTTAATACAATTTATTTATTTGTCTAATAGTATAATTTTTCAGTATTCGAAGAAAATAAACGGAGTGTCACATGAATTAATTGGTAGAGCATTATCAAGTTCTCTAATGCTTTCTTAAGAAGCAGTTAGTAGAATATTTGCATTTAGAATATATAAAGTTTCAAAACTAATTTAATATAATTTATTTATTTGTCTAATAATATCAAAAAATTCTATTTTAAATATTATTTCTAAATAAAAAATAATTTTATAAAAAAGTAAGTTAAATTTTAAACTATAATTAAAATAAAATTATTTATTCATACAGTGTATATATATATATATATATTAACATAAACACCTGTTAAAATAAAATTATTTATTCATATGATTTTATAATCATTGTAACTTATTATAGAAAAAAAATTTAGACTTTGATCACAAAAGTTTACGTGAGATTTTTAATAGTTTTAGTAATTTATACTCGTTTTGAAAATTTCAAAATACATCATATATAAAAAATCTAAGTTTTTATTTTATGATTAGTGTAGTTGTGTAATTTATTTTAGTAATAAAAAATTAAACAAAAATGATATAAAATATACAAATTGTTATCAAATCTTTATTATTTAAAATCACTAATAGTCATATATATTCTAATCACATTAGGTAATTCTGTAGGTTTTATTTAAGGATATAATATATAGGAGATTTAGTTTGATATGTTATTTAGTTTGATATATCTTATATGAGACCAACTTAACTTGTATTAAAATTATGTTTTATATAAAATGCTGTAGAATTTTTGTAAATAGAATTTAGAAGGTATAGAGAATTGTCACATATGACTGATTTTTTTAATTAGTACCAACTTATAAGGTTATAAATTTTAAATGGTACTCAATTAATATATAAGAGATTTTATTTCTTAACGTGCTTCTTGGTCTGCTCCTTTTTTTTCTAATATACTGATGTTAAAACATTGTTGTCTTCTTGTGCCTCTTCCGTTTCACTTGGTGCAGCTGCACTAGAAAACACATTTTATCAATTTTACAGTTGATCCAAGGAGTCTTTCTTCTACCGTCCTGCATGGTGAAGAAAACACATTGACTTGCTAAGTCTTCCATTTAGTGTATGATATGGGTTTGCTTATGTAACATCATGGCTGTCCACGGCTAATGACTTCTACGTCCGCTCATTCGTCCGTGTGACCAGTCGTCGTGTGTTAACTTTCGAAAGACTCATAAGATTTGTTTATTAATTGATCCTATAATCACCAAACGTTTTTTTTTTCTTGTATTTTGGCATCCTTCGTATGGTATCTCAAATCTCATCTAAGCAGTTCACTCATACGTCCAATATTTGAGTTTAAACACATTTAACCATGAATTTTTTTTTCTAAACACTTGATTAAAAAGATAAATACATTTGGTGATACATGTAACATCCAAATCAATTTCTTTAAACATCTTTACATACATCACTATATACCAAAAAAGGGGTCATAAATCGGGCTGTTAAGGCTTATTTATTTGTTGTTTATCTTCCACACCATATACAATAGTTTCTTGATTTTTCATTAGTAGTTGAGAGAATATGGAGAGTTCGCTTGGGATTTTGTTGGTGCTGATAATTTCAACCACCATTCATATTGGTCAATCTCAAGACCAAAAAGGTATATGATATTTTATATGTTCAATATACATCCATGATCCATCCTTCATGACAAACGTTGTGCAGCAGAAATGCACTGGTGTTAGTGGTTAATGTTTACCATATCTATTAACAGGGTTCATCAGTTTGGATTGCGGGCTACCTGCAAATGAACTGTCTCCTTATACCGAGGCTCATACTGGACTGTTGTTCTCCTCCGACGAAAATTTCATACAGAGCGGAGAAAATGGCCAAATCCAAGCAAGCTCAGAGAGCGACTTCTGGACGCCATACAGAACGCTGAGATATTTTCCAAATGGAACACGAAACTGTTACAATCTGAGGGTTGAGAAGGGCAGGAATCATTTGATCAGGGCTTTCTTTATGTATGCAAATTATGATGGTTTTGATACTAACCCGAATTTTGATCTGTATCTTGGACCTAATCTGTGGGACACGATAGATTTGCAAGGACAAGTGAACGGTTTACGGGCCGAGTTGTTGCACATTCCAATGTCAAACTCGTTGCAGATTTGTCTGGTTAAGACAGGGACGACTATTCCCTTCATATCCACCTTGGAGATACGGCCAATGGGAAGTGGTAGTTATATCACTGATTCTGGTTCCCTCAAACTTTTGTTTCGGAACTATCTTAGAGAGTCAAAGAATTTCATAAGGTACCTCAACTTCAACCGAAAGATTTTCTTCTTTCTCTTATGTTATGTCTCGTATGCTCTGCTTTTTGAGGTTCTGTTCACCTGTCTTTGCGGCTACGTACACTACTGTTTGTAACATAGGGGTTTTGTTTCAAGGAAATGATTTAATGAAGCATGTCTATACTTTAAATATACAATCAATATAATAAACGTACAACGCCCCAAGTGCAAGACAATGTTATGTTCCACCTTTTTTTCTTTTGTTTAAATATGATTTATTGTCTTTAAAGGTGACAAAGTTTACAATTGTTATTTCTTACAATATTATCTTACAGTTGACAAAAATATATTTCCATTTAGTTATTGATTCCAATTCCAAAACCCATCTTCAGGTACCCGGACGATGTCTATGATCGCGTATGGATTTCTTCCTTCAGAAACGAATGGACCCAGATTTCAACCACTCTCCAAGTGAACAATTCAAACATTTATTCTCCACCCAAAGCAGCACTCACAACTGCTGCAACACCTACTAATTCCGATGCCCCACTGACGATCAAATGGAATTCGAGTAACGTTAATAACCAATATTACTTGTATACACACTTTGCTGAGATCCAAGAGTTGTGGACCAACGATACCAGGGAATTCAACATGACTTGGAATGGAGAATACTTTTTCGGCCCTCTAGTTCCTCCGAAATATTGGGTTTATACTGTCTTTAGCAAATGGGGGGGAAGCTGCATAGGAGGGGAATGCAGTTTTGAGCTGACGAGAACCAACCGATCAACTCTTCCACCTCTGGTTAATGCTCTTGAGGTCTACACAGTTATCCATTTTCCTCAGTCTGAAACAAATGAAACTGACGGTACGTTATGTATATACACTATAAGGTCAAATTTTTTTTGTTATATCTATACTATTAAAACAATATTCTATTTTTAAAATTTTGAATTATGCCTTTGGATTTTCATCATATTTTAAAATTTTAATTTACTAAACAACTAAATATTTCATATATTTATGGTAACTGATAATTTTTCCTATTTTTGTGATTAAAAATAATTTTATTTTTATGAAACTTTCTATTTAATTTTAATATTATATTTTTGTGCATAATATTCTTTAGCGATCAAACTTAAAAAATTTTATTTACTATGTCATTTTATCCATAATATTGATATGTTAATTTATTTTTTTTATAAATATTTTTTAGATATAAAATAAGTAAAATGTAAAATTATCGTAGGTAATTAATAACGAAAAGAAACTAATATTGTTATATGGATAGATTTTTTGTTCTATTATCATTTTTCAGTTTTTTTTTCAAATGACAAGAAAATTTTCATTAAAGAAATTACAAAAAAAAATCTTTAATATAAAAAGTATGAGTCATTTAACTAAATAAAAAATATTATCAGTTTTTTTTTTGGGGGGGGGGGTTTAAACTGATCAACGAATATCATACTGCAAATTAATAGCGAGTTTTAGGATATTTATCGGATTTTATCAAATTTTTAATTAATAAAATTTTCATTATGGGATGCACCGGTTCAACTATGGGTCTATGTAAGATATGAAAACACTACGTGAAAAAACAACATATAATATAACATTTTTAGATATTCATAGAACAATTTTTAAATTTTTTTGTGTTTAAATAATTAATTCAGATAAATTTTATAAAAATGGTAAAAATATATGCGTGCTTTTAAAACGCGGATCAAAATCTAGTGTTTAGTTAAAATCTGAATATAAACCAAAATAGAGTAGTCAAGTCATTTTATATCTTTCTCCAAAAAGAAGTCATTTTATATATTAACCGTAGAAATAATAATAATGTCAGTAATTGCTGTCCAAAACATCAAAGCCATATATGGAATAAGTAGAATCAGCTGGCAAGGTGATCCTTGCGTCCCTCAAGAATATATGTGGGACGGCTTAAACTGCAGCACCACAGATAAGTCTACACCACCAAGAATCACTAATTTGTAAGTCATAAGTTTACTAGTACACACGCTCTTTAATATCGGTTAGTCAATGAAAATGTACACGTTTCAATGTGTTTTTGGACATATCACCAGAGACATGTCTTCTAGTGGTCTAACTGGAAACATTACGGAAATCATTCAGAAACTTACGTTACTAGAAACTCTGTAAGTATGTTCAGGCAGAAAATTGTTATATGGATTCAATTTTTTTTTTTTTTTTTTGTTATTAACAATCTTGAAAACATTAATTAGAGACCTGTCCAATAATAATTTGAGTGGAGAGGTGCCAGAGTTTTTAGGCAACATGAAATCTTTGGTGTCCATGTAAGTTTCTTTTTACATATTTTGGTAACACTTTTCAAATTTCACCTCAATTCAATTTCATTTATACACGTATGTCCAAAATTTGTTCCTCTTTTTTTTTTTTCTAAAAAAAAACCAGAAACATAAGCAGGAACAATCTTAGTGGTTTGATTCCTCAGGCTCTTCAGAGAAAAGGACTTGAGTTATAGTGAGAACTTCTCACCTAAAACTTTAAAAAACTCCTTTTATTGTCCAAAACCCATTTGTGTAACTTTGTCTTTTTTGTAGTTCTCAAGGGAACCCAAGACTTTGTCTCTCTGGTTCATGCCTACCTCCTAAACCCAAGCCATTTCCAGTGGCAATTGTGGCATCAGCTACATCTGTGACCATTATCATTGCTGTTTTGGTACTTACTATTGTTTTAAGAAAGAAAAAGCCACCAACTATAGGAGGTAATTTTCAATAAAACAATTCGGACTAAATTTTAGTTTTTATCCCCTAAAGAAATTCTTATCCACAGATCAACAACAACCGCCTAGTATATCGTCTGTGAATATTACGTATGCAAATTCACCAGTTTCATCAATCCAAACCAATAAGAGAAGTTTTACGTATTCAGAGGTCATTTATATGACAAACAACTTCCAAAGGAGTGTTGGGGAAGGAGGATTTGGTATCGTCTACCACGGTACTCTAAATGGTTATGAACAAGTAGCTGTTAAGCTCCTTTCTCAATCATCAACTCAAGGCTATAAGCAATTCAAGGCAGAAGTATGCATCCCTTTTAAAAAAATAAAAAGTTTATGAGTATCCTTAGCATCACAATCTTATGGTCTTTGTGTGTGTTTTCTATATGGATGATTAGGTTGATCTTCTTATGAGAGTTCATCACACAAATTTGGTAAACCTGGTAGGATACTGTAACGAAGGTGATCACTTGGCTTTAATATATGAGTTTGTGCCCAATGGGAACTTAAGACAACATCTGTCTGGTAAACTTTAAAATATATATATATATATATTTTTATATGTAACAAAGCTCGTGAAACCATTATATAAATGGATCTAACTATTTAACATACAGGGAAAGGAGGTAGATCCATTATCAATTGGGGTGTTCGACTACAAATAGCTGTGGATGCTGCATCAGGTTTGTTTTAAGCTAAGCCATAGACCAAGAAATGATTATCTCTTCCATTTTTCAAGCTGTTGTAAATCCATTCCTTAGGGTTGGAGTACTTACACATTGGGTGCATACCACCAATGGTTCATAGAGATGTTAAAGCCACAAACATATTGTTGGACGAGCGGTTTAAGGCTAGGCTTGCTGATTTTGGGCTGTCAAGATCTTTCCCAGCAGGAGATGAATCTCATGTTTCGACGACGATTGCTGGTACTCCTGGATACCTTGATCCCGAGTAAGGATTGTTAGTTAACATCATAACATGCTGGAAAATGTTCTCTTCTTCTTCAATGGTTTGAATAATATGTTTAGATAACAATATCCCATTTTCATTGCCTCGCAGATATTACCATACAAATCGGTTGACTGAGAAGAGTGACGTGTACAGCTTCGGGATTGTGTTACTAGAGATGATCACAAACCAGCCTGTGATTGACCAATCCCGTGAAAAGTCTCACATAACAGAATGGGTTGTGTTTGAGGTAAATAGCGGGGATATTAGGAGTATAATGGATCCAAAATTTCAAGAAGACTACGAATCTGATTCTGTATGGAGAATTTTTGACTTGGCAATGTCATGTGTAAATCCTTCTTCCAAAAGACGCCCAAGCATGTCTCAGGTTGTTGTGGAACTGAAAGAGTGCCTTGCGTCTGAAAAATCCAGGAGAAATATGAATAGAGGCAGGATGGAACCTCATAGTTCGGCTGAAGTGACCGTGCTCGTGGACACTGAGATGTTTCCTGTAGCAAGATAGGATGAGTCTTTAGGATCTGAAGAACCTACATGTGTTGCCATATTATGCTTTTGGATATAGAAGTGTTGCCCAAAATGGAAAAATAAGAGATTAAGATTTTATGAAGAATTTTGTTAGATTAAGATTTATTATGGACTTTCAACTTAAAATTAATTGGTGATTCGTGGGTTGGATCTATTCTCTTTTATATTATTTAAGGTCCCATAAAATTCTCGATATGGGATATATATCTCTAATACCCTTCTTCGAGATGATGACTATTATCGGTCAGAAATCTTGGAAATTTGAAGATATTTATACTCAGTCGAGCGAGTCAATACGACCTATATATCGGGTCGAAAATGTTAATTAATTAATTATAAGTAGATTGATTCTAACCTTTATATATATTATTTGAACATGAGATTGGTTACTTGCAGGGCCGGTCCTGATATTTTGGCGATCCTACGCTATTTTAAAGAATATCCAGCTAAAATGTTTTTCTAACTAATTTGGGAGCCTAATTTTTTGTTTTTTGTTTTGTGTGTGTGTCTATGTACATATAAAGATTTTCAAAATTTTCGAGAATCTGAGACGAATGTTTCAAAAGGCTTGCTCCAGAATCAGTCCTGGCTACTTGGATGATCCCTAGAGAAAAGAGATCAGGTCCTCTGTGTTAGCTGGCGAGTGTTGCCTTTTGCAGTTATAATATGAAATCGACAATCAATGGTTTAATCGTAAAATAGTTTTAAGAGAACTATATATTAAACTTATAAATGTATAATTTGACCTTGACGAAGTCTTTTTTAGACTGTATATACATTCTACTTTTTTTCCTCACAGCCTTGCCAATGATTTTCGCTTTTGTTGTCTCTAATCGCCATCATCATTTATTGGCAGGCCAATGTCCTTAGCCAAGTTCGTTGCAATAGAAACACACATTTACTTTCTTTTCCAGACTTAGGACATCTTGCCATGTACGCCGTGAAGATTGATAGAATGTCTCTTTTGGATGTGAAAGGCATGCATATGAGGCTTATAATCACTGTAAAAATTCTAGTGCCATGCCGTGAGTGTTGATAAAAACACCTTCGCCAAACCTACAAGAGTCACAAATTAGTGAGACCTGTCAAACCAAGAGAAAATTCTTCATTAACTTGTCTAAGCTAATTGGTTTTTTGGCATGTGTTTACTCTTGAGTGCCACGCCATGAAAGATCATAAATCAAGTACACTAGAAGACCGAAGGAAAAGAGATGGATTGTGAGTTCTTATTCAATTATCCTTAACCCTAAATGATTCTCAAATTAGTGAAGAGAATGGAAATTACTCTATGACTTGTCTTGGATATATAACTGATACGCCTTTGATGTAACAGTTTGTTCCATAACGTGCTTCTGGGTCTCCTCCATTTATTTCATTGGTAAGTTGGTGATAATGATGTTGGAACATTTTGTCCTCTAAACTCTTACCTTCTTCCATGGGTGATACAAGAAAACAGATTTACTTGTTTTCAACATTGACCTGAAAAAGTCTTTCTTTTTAGTGTATGATCTGGGTTTGCTTGTTTATTATCTGTTCTTTTCATTCTTCTTGTTTCTTTATGTTTAATTTGGGATATTTGGAAACAAATCCCACCCAATCACCCTTGGGACAGTAGTCCGCCGCGTGTATTCTAATAAGGTTTAACTGTTTAAGAAATGGTCAGGATTTGAACTCAGAACCAACGGATTTAATCTTACCACCATGCTACCGTCTCTAAGTCCTTTCATTCTTCTTGTTGCATGGTGAAAAAAAATTACTGACTTTAAAAGTTGAGTCTTTTCTTTTAGTGTACAATTGGGGTTTTGTTTATTTATTCACTATTTATCTCTCACTGGTTTTCTTGAGTATTTTCTCGGGAGTTGATAGAATATGGAGAGTTCTTTCTGGCTTCTGTTGGTGCTCAATGCACCGTTGGCCATCATGCATCTTATTCAAGCTCAAGACCAAGAAGGTATCTTACGTACTTACTTTTAGGTTTACATCCTCCCTTCTCCTACTAACTTTTTTTTTTCTTTTTCTTGACTAAATCTTTTACAAACGTTTTGGTTTTTTCTCAGACGTGCAATGGTTTTTATGGTTAATCTTTAATGTGTGTTGTCACTCAACAGGGTTCATCAGTTTGGATTGTGGGCTACCTGCCGACGAACTGTCTCCTTATATTGAGACTCATACTAAGCTGAACTTCTCCTCAGACATAACATTCATTCAGAGTGGAAAAACTGCTATAATTCAGGTGGATGGATTACCGAAGCCATACACAACGTTGAGATATTTTCCAGATGGAATACGGAACTGTTACAATCTGAATGTGGAAATGGGGCGTAAATATTTGATCAGAGCTTCCTTTAATTATGGAAATTACGATGGTCGTAACAGGACACCGGTCTTTGATCTCTATCTTGGACCTAATCTATGGGCCACGATAGATGTAGGAACATGGGTGAATGGTATTCGGGAAGATATTTTACACATCCCAACATCAAACTTGTTGCAGATTTGTCTTGCTAAGACTGGCGAAACTACACCGCTAATAACCGCTCTGGAACTACGGCCTATGGGATATGACTCTTATATCACTAAATCTGGCTCCCTGAAACTTCGGAACTTCTATTATCTTAGCAAGTCAGGGTCTGCCATACGGTAAGTTGACTTCAACTGGACAACTAGATTTTGATCCGCGATTAAAAAGCGTGGAACTTTTTATGATTAAAAATTTGTATATTTGAATTTTCTCTTGATTTATAAAATGTTTTGGTATAAAATCAGTTCACCAAAACTTGTGGTGATGATTTTTTTCATTAGTTTTTAGTGTCAATTGTTATTTTTAGATTTTGTTTTAGGTTTTAGTTTTTGGTTTTTAGTTTTTAAGTTTCTATTTTTGATTTTTAGTTTTTGTTTTGGGTTTTTAATTTTTAGACCCACTGAGTCAGTTTGAATTAATATTACCGACAAACAAATCTCAAATAATCGAACATCTAATTTAAAAATGAAAAAATGACAAAAAAATTATAAAAAAAATTGAAATAGTTTATTTTGTAAATAAACAAAAGCAAAAAATATAGCCTGCGTTTTCAGCTTTTGGTTTTGGATTTTAGTTTTTAAATTTGTTTTTTAGTTTTGTTTTTTTATAAATCAATAAATTATTTAAGGAAAATAAAACATCCTTTTATGTAAATTGAAAATTGATAGGATTTGCCTAAATTATTTAAAAGTTACCATTGAAATTTCAAAAAAAAAGTGATTGTTATTTAAAATAAAAAATACATTAACATGTTTTAAAGTACATGATTTAAATAAATGTTTAATAATAGATAATTTTGTTTTGTTAAAAATATTAAATATCTTTTGGACCTGAAAATAATAATTGATTTTTTGATCCATTAAGGTGGAAAGTTTATTAAATGTTTTTTAGAGTTTTTCCTTAATATTAAGCCCGAAACCAAACCATATGTAATTTGTTTTAAAAACAAAAGTAAACCCATGACTATATCCCATAAATAACCACCGGTTTAATTTAAGTAATGCGATTCAATTAACTATATGGATTGTATTATTTGTAACACTCTAGAAAGGGTTCAAATTTAAATGACAACCTGTATCAGTAGATAAAAAAATGACTCTATTTTAATAGAGTAGATGTCTATTTTTTTCTGCACCTCTGTTTCCTTTTTTTTTTTGAAACACCCTATTTCCTTCTATTATAACTCATTTATACAATTAAATAATAAGTTCTCTTTTAAAAAAAAATTATTTACAATTTCTTTTGCAAAAATACATGTGTTACAAAATTTCATGTTTGCATGAAAAGACATAACCTTTTTAATAATGTAAAACCACAACACTTAAAACTAATATTGTTCAGTTTTTTTTTATGAAAGAGACACCTTTTAATATTAATTGAAATTCTTATTATTATTTTTTCTCTAAGACGTTATTTTTAAAACACTTATTGGGATATTTTAACTACTTTAAAACTAATTGATTTTCTAAAGAATTCAAAGCAGAGGTATTAACTAATTGACTTTAAAATGAGAAAATAAAATTCTTAAAATTAGTAGAATTCAACCTTTTTTAATGAATTTTTTAATAATAAACATATACAAATCTTAAACTAATATATTTCAATTTTTTAATAAAATATACAACTTTAACATTTACCATTTCTCAACATAAAAATCGTTCATGGTCTCCCATGCGACAAATTTTCATGTCAAGTAAATAAATTCAATTGATTGCATAATAAAAAGTCTTATAATTATAGAAAGAAGCTTATTGAGATATTTTAACAATTTTTACAAAATAATTTTTTTATAATGAAAAAATACAACTTTTAAAACTAATAGCATTTATTATTATTTTTAAACAAATCCAAAGATTCATGTGGATGACTATGAACGAAATTAAAACTAAAATACACTACTCTTAAACTATTATAATTCAGTTTTTTTTAATGAAAATATACTTTTTTTTTACAATGAAACGATACAATTGTTAAAACTACTATATTTCAGTATTTTAATGAAAATACATAACATTTTTGAACATTAATTATGGTTGCTATTATTATTGGTAAAATAACTTCTTTCTATTATATAAAAAAAATCTTTCTGTTATGTTATATTTATATGTTTTCCCCCTTTTTATCCTTTTGTGAGATTTGTCCAAATTTACAATGGTCCAAGATGGTGTATTAATGAAATTGTGCCTTGACATAATTAATCCATTGCTAAAACAACAATGTTCCCACCCTCCAGGTACTCAAGCGATATCTATGATCGCATATGGAGATCGTACTTTCTGATGGAAAATTGGACCCAGATTTCCACTGCTCTCGATGTGGTCAATTCCAACAAATATGCTATACCGAAAGATGTACTAAAAAATGCTGCCACGCCTACAAATGCCAGTGCACCATTGACGATGGAATGGATTTCCAAAAATCCTGAGGCTCAATACTATTATTACGCACACTTTGCTGAGATCCAAGACTTGCAGTCCAATGAAACCAGGGAATTCAACGTGCTATGGAATGGAGTACATCAGTCTGGCCCATTTAGTCCAAGAATGCGAATGATAGATACTATCTCTAGCAACTCACCGCAAATTTGCACTGGAGGGAAATGCATTTTCCAGTTGATAAGAACCAATAGATCAACTCTTCCACCTCTACTTAATGCTCTTGAAGTCTACAAAGTTGTTCAGTTTACACAGTCTGAAACTGATGAAAGCGATGGTATGTGACTTTCTTTTCCATGTTATGCATGCATATAAGATCTATACTTTGCTATTTTGGTAAAAAAAAAAAAAAACAACAGATTACTCAAGAGGTCACAACTTTTTTTCTTATGTCAGTGGGTGCTATAAAAAACATAGCAACCACCTATGCATTGAATCGAATCAGCTGGCAAGGTGATCCATGCGTCCCTCGACAGTTTAGGTGGGACGGTTTAAACTGCACCAACGCGGATATGTCCATGCCCCCAAGAATCACTACTTTGTAAGTCATAAGTTCACCAGTACACAATGAACACACCTCACTCTTCAAGATCTCTTAGTAATAGTGATTATTAACACTTTCGAATGTTGTTTTGAACATTTCACTAGAAACTTATCTTCAAGTGGTTTAACTGGAACCATAGCTGATGCCATTCAAAGTCTTACGCAACTAGAAACAATGTAAGTATTAATATGTTAAACTGAATGCGAGAAATTAGTATTATAGGGATTGGAATCAATTGTAAAAAACTTTTTCCACATTAGGGACTTGTCCAAAAATAATTTGACTGGAGAGCTGCCGGACTTTCTAGGCAACATGAAATCGTTGTCAGTCATGTACGTTAATTTCTCTCAGCATATTCTGTTATACTTATCAAATCCCTCCTCAGATCATGGTTGTTTTTAACAGAAACTTAAGCGGGAACAATCTCAGTGGTCCAATTCCGCAAGCTCTTCAAAGGGAAGGACTAAAGCTATTGTAAGAAACTCTCCACATAGAATTATGAACTTTTCTCGGTTGTTATCCATAACCTTTTTTGTGCATCTACTGATGTCATGGACAACCCTTTTCTTCTCGTAGCGTTGAAGGAAATCCAAGGCTATGTTTCTCTGATTCATGTATAAAGCGACATAAGAAAAAAACAGTCGTACGAGTTGTTGCATCAGTTGCTTCTGCAGCCATTGTCATTGCTATGTTGGTTCTTTTTCTTGTATTCAAAAATAAAAAGTCAACAATTCTGCAAGGTATTTGCAAGATACATCAATTAAAAAAACGTTGCTCTTTTGAATTAAAAGAATAAAAATAAAAATGTATACATGTGATAAAATTCTTATTCTGATGTATATAGGTCAACCGAGGAAGTCAAGGATGAAGCTCAAGTTTGCTAATAAAAACAGCAGAAGATTCACATATTCAGAGGTTATACAAATGACAAATAACTTCCAAAGAGTTTTAGGCAAAGGAGGATTTGGCATGGTGTATCATGGTACTGTAAACGGTTCTGATCAGGTGGCTGTTAAAGTATTCTCTCAATCTTCAGCTCAAGGTTATAAAGAATTCAAAGCAGAGGTATTTTTGTTCGGAAATTAATTTTCTCATCTAAACAGTGATATGTTTTAGTATCACCAATGGTTTTGCCTTTCAAGTTTTTCTTGACATGAGTCTTACCTTAGGTTGATGTTCTTGTGAGAGTTCACCATACAAATTTGGTGATCCTCGTTGGGTATTGCTATGAAGGCGATCACTTGGCCCTCGTTTATGAGTTTCTTCCCAATGGAGACTTGAAACAACATTTGTCAGGTTATACTTCTAAAAAATTTCACGTGTAGCATTAACTCATGAAACATGAATGGAGCTAACATCTAATATACAGGAAAAAGAGGTAGACCCATCATCAACTGGAGTGTCAGACTACAAATAGCTTTGGATACAGCACTAGGTTCGTACTAAATTAAATATAATTGTAGGGAAAGATAGTGATTCAATTGTGTTACATCAACCAGTTGATAATAATTCCATTTCATAGGATTGGAGTACTTACACATTGGATGCACACCACCAATGGTTCATAGAGATGTGAAAACAGCCAACATATTGTTGGATGAGAACTTCAAGGCCAAAATAGCTGATTTTGGGCTCTCAAGATCTTACCAAAGTAGAGGTAAAACTCAAGAGTCAACGGTGATTGCTGGTACTATTGGATACCTTGATCCCGAGTAAGTACCTTTAGTTTTTTACATACACATACATGCTGCTCTGAATCATAATATTCTCTCATCAGTGCTTACTGCTTACATAGTCTTACCATTTCCTTGTCTTCCAGGTATTACCGTACAGGTCGGTTAGCTGAGAAGAGTGATGTCTATAGTTACGGGGTCGTTTTATTGGAGATGATCACAAACCAACCTGTTATCTCTAAAGAGTATCACATAGTAGAATGGGTTAGCGCTACGCTTAACCAAGGTGATATAAACGAGATCATGGATCCAAACCTCGGTGGGTTTTATGAATCTAATTCTGCGTGGAGAGCTCTTGAGTTGGCAATGTCATGCGCTGATCCTATTTCCTCAAAACGACCAACCATGTCTCAGGTTATTATCGAGCTAAAAGAGTGTATTGCTTGTGAGAACTTAAGGATGAGTACCAGTCCAGGCTCAGAGTCCTTAAATTGACATTAGCTTGGATAGTTCGGTAGTTCCTTCCTGGGGAAATATAGTTTTGACTTTTGAGTGTTGTCAATTTGTCGTACCAATATGGAAACAACAGTTTGAAAAATAGCCAAAGACTGTTGACTAAAATTATTTAAGATAAAACATTTTAATTTTCCTTTTATCATTAATATCATCTCCTTTGTTCTTTCGACCCAATGAAGTGGGTCAAATGCAATGTGCAACCGTAAATAAGCTTGATTATACTTTGTCTCCTCTTATTCCTTGATGGTAATGTTTAGGACATTGTTGTCCTTTTATTCCCATGTTGAAGTTTCACTAGTAAATGTATTTACTCACTCCTATTGACTTAACATATTAGTCTTTCTCCTAGCCTATAAATTCTACTTTTATCCTCCAAACAAGTTATCTTGAATCTTTTTTTTTTCTTTCACATTAACAAGCTGTGATTGACAGATTCATGGTACAGTATTTGCAAGTTGCCTATTTCTTAACCAATAAAACTATGAACAGATGTATTGGCAGGTCAATGTCATAGCTAAGTTAGTTGCAATAGAAAACACATTTACTTTTCATTACCTTGATTGATCCATAGAACATTGAAAAGGGAATTAGTCTAAGAACAGCTTCATCAGTGATATCTCATAGAATATCTCATCAGAATCTTTAAAAATATAAAAACGAAAAACCAAGTAGAGATATTATCTCTGATATTTTGGAACTCTTCCAACCCATATACGGTACCTTCTTTTCATTGGACAATTTTTGTTCACTGAATAAAAATATTTACTTTGAAAATTTTAAGAACTTTATAAGGAATCTACCAATGAAGCTGCTCTAAGACTTCGAACCTATACACTGAAAAGGGACCAAATAATATATTTGCTAGAAAGTCATATACAACAGCTTACATCAGTTGACATGGTCTTGCGAAACGAATTTGCCTATTGCATGACCAAGGAATTAATATATGTTTCTTACATTCTTTGGATAATGTAGATAACCAAGTTCTTTATTAGGATGTCGAAAAACTTATCTTTCATTGTTAGCTGGTTTTCTTTTAAAGTAATATAGTACATACATTCACTTCGTATGATTGATTTCCTATTTTATGTTTTGCAAAGTGACGACCTCTTCTCATGTAGCCTCAGATTTTGGTTTTTATTTATATATACCCTAGTCGCCTCTGAAAACTTGTGCATTTGAAGTGTTTTGATATCTCTTTAGAGGAATTGCTAATCATGGAGAGTCCTTGTCGGGTCTCGGTGTTGGTATTAGGAACTTTGGCTATTATTCATCTTGTACTTGCTCAGGATCAACAAGGTATTCACATACACTACTTGTTGATCTTTAATTCGTATAGTTTAGGTGATCCGCTCTGCTTTGGTCTGATCAAATAAATATTAGTTATATCTTGATATTAAGCTGGTACTCGACATGTTCCGTAATCGTTTTAAAAGGAAATACTAATGTTTTTCATATTCGTAACGATGAATACAAATTCCAAAAATTTGATGTATAGATATATAAATAAGTGGATCTTACTCAATATATACATATATATATATATATATATATATATATATATATATATATATATATATATATATATATATATATATATACATGTGTGTTAGCAGGGTTCATCAGTTTGGATTGTGGGCTACCCGCGGAAGAACTTTCTCACTATGATGAGCAATGGACTGGTTTACGTTTCACTTCGGACGCAGCATACATCCAGAGTGGAAAAACTGGAAGAATCCAAGCAAATCGTGAGAGTGAATTCTATAAGCCGTACAGAACGCTGAGATATTTTCCAAATGGAACACGAAACTGTTACAATCTGAGTGTGGAGAAGGGACGTAAATATTTGGTCAGAGCTACCTTTGTGTATGGAAACTATGATGGTCTTAACATTAAACCCAAATTTGATCTGTATCTTGGACCTAATCCATGGACCACGATAGATTTGCAAGGAGATGTGGATAGTGGACGAGTGGAGATGTCGCACATTCCAACGTCAAACTCGGTGCAGATTTGTCTCGTTAAGAACGGGACGACTACTCCGCTAATATCCACCTTGGAGATACGGCCTATGGCTAATGATACTTATATAACTGTGTCTGGCTCGCTTAATCTTTTATTTCGGAGATGTTTCAACAAATCAGTTACTGACATAAGGTAACCCAACTTCAGTTCAATGTTTTTTTGTTATATCTGTAACTATGTTTGTTATGATCTGTCTCATGTGGTTCTTCTGTTCACCTCTGTCTTCTTGCGGCTCTGTACACTGTTTGCAACATATGGGTGTGTTTCAAGAAAATGACTATTCATTCCTTGGTACATTAGTGAATTATAAAACCACATAAACGATGAAGTAGGGTCAATATCTCACATTTATAATCAACTAGGACCAATCCGGACTAAGTCCGCTTTTTTTTTGTTGAAATTTTAGTTATATATGTTGTATGTTATTTTGATATATAGATATTATAATCTATTATAAAATATAAGTAGTTATACAATTATATAATTATTTATTGTTTTTTGTCTTTTGAATTTCAAAAATTTTAATATCCAAATTTTCTATATCATAGATTATCAGTGTGTGTTTTGCGTAGAATTATTGTATATTGTGGCTCGTCTCGACTTTTGTTTCTTTATCTATTGTGTATTATTATTTATTATATTTATTTTTGGTAAAATATTTTTTGTTTATTTATTACACATTGTTTACTATTTGAATCTTCTTTTGATAAGTATTCTAAATTTGATCTTATTTACCTAAAATGGAAACAAAAATTTAGTGTGTGAATATTTTTCTCCTTAGGTTTGATGAAACGTAAAGGAAAACGATATGATAATAGAATTTTTGCCTTTCCATACTTATAAGCTTTTTTATTTATTTTGAATATGTTTAAGTATTCTGTAACTTTTCCTTAAATATTAAATCTTTACTAAAATTTTCATTAAACACATGAAATTTGTTTTCATTAAACTCAAGTTACACTACATATCATAACTAAATTTTAATTAGTCTATTTTTATATCTTATTAGTTCTAAGTTTTTAAATTATTTAAATTATGTATTAATTGTTAATTAATTTTAATATCTTTGTATTGTAGGTTAATCTTAAATTTGGTAGTCAAAAGGGAACCAAAAATCTGTGAGATTCAGTATTTATATTTTTGTTGGTATAAATCTAAGGAAATGTATGAAGATTAATAGAGGAAATTGATTTATTTCTCTTTCTCATGAATTTTATTTATTATAATTATAAATTTATTTGTTTAATTATATTATAGATTTTCACTAAATGATTATTTATTATAATTATAATAATTTTATTTATTATAAGGATAAATTTATTTATTTTAATTATATTATATATTTTCACTAAATGATTATTTTTTTAGCAAAAAGATTAATGTCAATTTGTTTGGTTTCATTAAAAATAAAATATTAATTATAATAATTTAGAAGTTATTAAATTGTTTGAAAGTTTCGGTGGCTGTATTTGGGGTTCACTTCATGTTTGTTTGGGATATGTTATACGATCAATGTGATATAGTTGTGTATTTTTGCAAGTTCTATTCTCGAGCCTATGGTATTATGTGCTAATTTTCTCTAACTTATTCTTAAAAACTATCAATCAAGTAGAAATATATTTACTCCCATTTAATTTTTATTACTGTTTCAAAAGAGATAAACACACACTCATCGTTGTGCTAGATATAATGAACGTAAGAATTTTTTCTCATTTTTCTTCTCTTTTCTATTTCTTCTGATTCTATTTGATTAGGAAAAACTGTGAGAACTTAGCGGCCACTGAAGTGGTGTTATGAGGTAAAAGATTATGAGACATGATAGTATTAAGCTAATGACATATTATTTTATCAGGTTATACGCTTGATATTCAGATTTACTTTGTCTTTATCTTGTGTGTATTCGTTTCAGATAATTGATTGTTATTTAGTGTTTATTTTGTCTATAATAATATGAATGTCATGTCCACTTAAACATTTCACCATCTCTATCAAAATTTGATGTCCGTTTATATTTTGGACATTTTTATTTTTATCTACTGTCAAACATATTTTGTAATATTATATTATTTTTAGTATTATAATATTTTATGTTTTGTTTGTTTTTCATAAAGCACATACTTTTTTTTATATGTCCGATTACTTTTTATACGCAATAATTGATATAAGTTCAGTGTATATACAATATCATTTTTAAAAACAACATACAATATCATTTATGTGGAAATCTTTGTATTTGTTTGATGTATTTATTTACTTTTATTTAGTTTGTATTCTGATTTTTTATGTATATTTAATGCATATTAATTCCTAATGTGCTACTATTAAAAATCTAGTGATAAACACACACACACACACACACACACACACACACATATATATATATTCAAATTTATTGAGTATCTGATTTTTCTTAATTTATTGAAATAAGAATAACATTAAATTTCACTATTTATATTTTGTTATTTTATTAATAACGTTAAATTTCAGTATTTATATTTTGTTATTTGATTATATAAGTAATTTCTAACATTTGTCAATGTTAATAAAATAAAATATCTAAGAATATAAATTATGGATTATTTTCAGCCTTATATATTTTTTTTGAATTTATGGATACTATAATTTTTTCAATATATTTTTTTTTCTCAAAATAAAAATTCATACTTCTTAAAAAGAATTGATAAATGTATTCACATAATATATGTCTTTGTTAATATTAAACATTATTTTTTGTGTAAAAATAATTTTGCATATAATGTGTTATTTTTTTTCATCATATTTAGTGACATAGCATTACGAAAGAAAATTTAACTTTATATATATAAAGTCTACAACCTCTTCAAGTGCATTAAATGATATATCTTCCATATTATTTTATTAATTTCACTTCTAAAACTAATTTCCAGGTACCCGAGTGATAGATATGACCGTGTATGGACTTCGTTCTTCAGAAACGAATGGACGCAGATTTCCACCAGTCTCCAAGTGAACAATTTAAAAAATGTTTATGTTCCACCAGAAGCCTCACTCACAACTGCTGCGACACCTACTAATTCCAGTTCCCCACTGATAATCAACTGGACTTCGAGTAATGTTGATAACCAATATTACATGTATGCACACTTCGCTGAGATCCAGGAGTTACGGACCAACGATACCAGGGAATTCAACATGACTTGGAATGGAGAACACTATTTTGGTCCATTTACTCCGCCAAAATTTAAATTATTTACTGCTTATAGCCCGTCAGGGATAGGCTGCAAAGGAGGGCAATGCAGTATTCAGCTGACGAGAACCAAAAGATCAACTCTTCCACCTCTGCTTAATGCTCTTGAGATCTACACAGTTATCCATTTTCCGCAGTCTGAAACAAATGAAAGTGACGGTATGTTGTGCCTATAAGGTCGATATGTTTAGTAAAAAAGAAATCATAACCACAATAGAGCAGTGAACACGTTTCATATATCAACTCAACTCATATATTAATACAAGTCTCATCAAAAAAATATTTTATGTCAGTGGTTTCTATTCAAAACATCAAAACCACCTATAAAATAAGTATAATCAGCTGGCAAGGAGATCCATGCGTCCCTCAACGGCTTATGTGGGACCGCTTAAATTGCAGCAACACGTATATGTATACGCCACCAAGAATCACTTATTTGTAAGTCTTAAGATCAATAGTCAAGAGTGTTCTTCAAGTTTTGTTAGTAATGTTGATCTTTAACACTTCTAAATGTGCTTTTGGACATATAACCAGAAACTTGTCTTCAAGTGGTTTAACTGGAACAATAGCGGCTAGCATTCAGTATCTCACACAACTAGAAATTCTGTAAGTATTTTCAGCTTTGATAGGAGGAAATATAATTATATCTGGATGAATTCTATTTTTTTTTTACTCAATATTGAAACACACTAGGGACTTGTCTAATAATAATTTGACTGGAGAAGTGCCGGAGTTTCTAGGCAACATGAAATCGTTGGTGTTCATGTAAGTCTCCTTTTTGCACATCATTTTGTAATGCTTTTCAGATTCCACCTAACTCATGTCCAAAGTTTGTTCTTGTTATATAATTTAACTTTTATTTTGAACAGAAACTTAAGCAGGAACGATCTTAGTGGTTTGATTCCTCAGGGTCTTCAGAGGGAAGGACTGTTAGAGTGAGAAACTTATGATGCAGATTTTGATTATTCTCAGTTATTTGTGTAACTAGCGTCTTGAAACAAAACATTGCCTTCTTGTAGTCATCAAGGAAACCCAAGACTTTGTCTCTCTGATTCATGCCTACCTCCCAAACCCATGCCATCATTTCTAGAGGCAATTGTGGCATGTCTTGCGTGTCTGGTCATTATTCTGGTTGTTTTGGTACTTACTTTTGTTTTAAGGAAGAAAAATCCGTCAATTGTGAGAGGTAATTTGCACGAAACAAAACAACTATACATAGCTTATAAATAGTTTAATTTATAACCCTGAACTATTTCTTTTGCACAGCTCTACAACGGCCACCTTCTATATCCGCAGCTGAGAATGTCACAAATACTAATTCATCTGTTTCATCAATCCAAATGAATAAGAGAAGGTTTACTTATTCAGAGGTCATTAATATGACAAATAACTTTCAAAGAGTTGTTGGGGAAGGAGGATTCGGTATTGTCTATCACGGTACTCTTAATGTTTATGAACAAGTAGCTGTTAAACTGCTTTCTCAATCATCTACACAAGGCTATAAGCAATTCAAGGCAGAAGTATGCATATCTGCTTCTTCTTTTTTTTCTTGAAAAGTTTATGAGTATCCTTCGCATCACAAGCTTATGGATTACAATGTGTGTTTTCTCTATGGATGATTAAGTTGATCTTCTTATGAGAGTTCACCACACAAATTTGGTAAACTTGGTAGGATACTGTAATGAAGGAGATCACTTGGCTCTAATATACGAGTATGTTCCCAATGGAGACTTAAGACAACATCTATCCGGTAAACTTTAAAAAAAATTCATATGTAACAATAGCTCATATGAAACCATTATATAAATGGATCCAAAGTATTTGAGACACAGGGAAAAGAGGTAGATCCATTATCAACTGGGGTATTCGACTACGAATAGCCTTGGAGGCTGCGTCAGGTTTGTTTAAAGTTAAAACATAAACAATGAATTAATTCTTTCCTCCATTTTTAAAGCTATCATAGATGAATCAATTCCACAGGTTTGGAGTATTTACACACTGGGTGCATACCAGCAATGGTTCATAGAGATGTTAAAACTACAAATATATTGTTGGACGAGCAGTTCAAGGCCAGGCTTGCTGATTTTGGGCTGTCCAGATCTTTCCCAGTTGGAGGTGAGTCTCATGTTTCGACGATGATTGCTGGCACTCCTGGATACCTTGATCCTGAGTAAGTATTGTTTGTTTAATATCACAATGTGGATGTTTCCTTTGCCTTTTATAATGGTTAAAGAATACATGTCGATAATAACATATTACGTTCTTTCGCCTTGTAGATGTTACCGTACAAATCGGTTGACGGAGAAGAGCGATGTGTACAGTTTCGGGATAGTGTTATTGGAGACGATCACAAACCAACCCGTGATTGACCAATCCCGTGAAAAGTCTCACATAACACAATGGGTTGGGTTTGAGCTAATTAGTGGAGATTAGGAGTATCATGGATCCAAACCTTCAAGGAGACTATGACTCTCACTCTGCCTGGAGAGTTCTTGATTTGGCAATTTCATGTACAAATCCTTCTTCCACAAAACGTCCAAGCATGTCTCAGGTTGTTATGGAACTAAAGGAGTGTATTGCGTCTGAAAAATCGAGGAGAAATACGAGGAGAGGCAGGATGGAGTCTCATAGTCCCGCTAAAGTGAGCATGCTCATTGACACTGGGATATTTCCTGAGGCGAGATAGTTTGAGCTGCAAGTGACATGTAAAAAAAGAAAGGGTCATAGCACTAAACAAATCTGGTCAAATTGCTTCGATCATCGACATGTAGCATATTCTATGTTTGTTTTGTGATTATTTTTGTTTGCTAATGAACCATGAATCTGTGTTGTGTTGACTCTTGAGTGCCATGCTGTGAATGTTATTGGGATGATAACTATTTTGGATACATAAACTATGGTTGCAACATTTGATTCAAATTAATAAGAGACGTTATAAAAAATGAAAAAGGAAAATCCATTTAATTTGGAATTATTAGCGTAGATAATTGATTCTCATATAGTGTAAGATTTTATTTCTGAACGTGCTTCTTGGTCTGCTCCTTTTTTCCCATATAGTGATGTTGAAATATTCTCGTCTTCTTATGCCTCTTCCGTTTCCCTTGGTGCAGCTGCCCTAGAAAACACATTTAATCAATTTCACCATTGACTCCAAGTAATCTTTATTCTACCGTCCTGCATGGTGAAGTAAACTCATTGACTTGCCAAGTCTTTCATTTAGTGTATGATTTGGGTTTAGCTTACTGCTTACGGCTAATGAGTAGTGACCTCCACGTCCACTCACTCATTCGACCCATGGTCCCACCTATGCGACCGTTGGTGTTCGAAAGACGCATAAGATTTGTTTACTGGTCCTATAGTTACCACATGATTTTTTTCTTGTATTTTGGTATCACTTCCAATCACATATCGATATATTTTATCATAGACACACTTAACACTAGAGTTTTTTTTTTTCTAAATAAATGACTGAAAAGATAAATATATATTGGTGACACATCAGTTTTTTAAAACATATTACACCACTTATATACCAAAAATCGGGATCATAAATCGGGGTGCTACAGCTTATTTATTTGTTGTTTATCTTCAACAGCATAGCCACTAGTATCTTGTTTTTTCTTTGGGAGTTGAGGCAATATGGAGAGTATGCTTGCGCTTTTGTTGGTGCTGATAACTTCCGTGGCCGTTCATATTGTTCAAGCTCAAGTCCAACAAGGTATCTGATATATTATCTGTTCTAATTTCTATATGCGTCCTCCCTTCATCCATGAATGTTTTGTAATCGCATAAGTACACTGGTTTTAATGGTTATAATGTTTACCATGTCTGTTAACAGGGTTCATAAGTTTGGATTGTGGGCTACCTGCGAATGAACTGTCTCCTTATAAGGAGGCTAGTACTGGACTGTGGTTCTCGTCCGACGAAAATTTTATACAGAGCGGAAAAAATGGTCGAGTGCAAGCAAACCGAGAGAGCAAATTGAAGAAGCTATACAGAACGTTGAGATATTTCCCAAATGGAACACGAAACTGTTACAACTTACGTGTGGAGAAGGGCAGAAATCATTTGATCAGGGCTTTCTTTATATATGCAAATTATGATGGTTTTGATATTAACCCCAATTTTGATCTGTATCTTGGACCTAATTTGTGGGGCACGATAGATTTGGAAGAACAAGTGAATGGTAGTCTGGCCGAGATTTTGCACATTCCAATATCAAACTCGTTGCAGATTTGTCTGGTTAAGACAGGGAGGACTACTCCGTTCATATCCACCTTGGAGATACGGCCAATGGGAGATGATAGTTATATCACTGATTCTGGTTCCCTCAAACTTTTCTTTCGGAGATATCTTAGTGAGTCAGACACTTATATAAGGTACCTTATCTTCAATCGAATGTTTTTCTTTTCCTCCTATAGATTTCTTGCGGTTCTGAGTCTTCTGACAGAGACAGAACCGTTTGTTCACCTGTCTTTGTCTTCAAGGAATTGATTTAAACAAGTAAAAATTTACAATTAAATGATATGTTTCATCCTCTTTCTTTTTACCAAGTTTGGTGCATTAACAAGATTACAATTAGTAAACAATATTCCATCTTATTTATTGATGCCACTTCAAAAACCATTTTCAGATACCCGAGGGATATCTACGATCGTATATGGGTTTCGGACTTCAGAAACGAATGGACCCAGATTTCCACCACTCTCCAAGTGAACAATTCAAACAGTGGTTATGCTCCACCAAAAGCCGCACTCACAACTGCAGCAACACCTACTAATTCCAGTGCGCCACTGACCATCCAATGGAACTCGAGTAACGTTAATAACCAATATTACTTCTACAGACACTTCGCTGAGATCCAAGAGTTGCAGAAAAAAGATATCAGGGAGTTCAACATAGCTTGGAATGGAGAAGTCATATTACCCCAATTCGTTCCTCCAAAATTTAGGGCAGATACTGTCTTTGAACGGACACCAAGAACTTGCGCAGGAGGGCAATGCAGTCTCCAACTGATTAAAACTAACAGATCAACTCTTCCACCTCTGCTTAACGCTCTTGAGGTCTACACAGTTATCCAATTTATGCAGTCTGAAACAAAGGAAACCGACGGTATGTTATGCATATAAGGTTAAAACTTTTACTGTATGTTTAGTAAAAAATAAATGTAAACCTCAATAGAGTACTCAAGTCATTTTATATATTAACTTAAGTATCATTTTTTTTATTAAAAAAAAAAACCAGTGATTGCTGTTCAAAACATCAAAACCACCTATGGAATAAGTAGAAGCAGCTGGCAAGGAGATCCATGCGTCCCTCAACAATTTACATGGAACGGCTTAAACTGCAGCAACACTGATATCTCTACACCACCAAGAATCACTCATATGTAAGTCATAAAGTTAACTAGTACACACGCTCTTTAATACTCCTTCTGTTTCAGTTTGTTGTATATTTTAGTTTTTTTCACACATATTAATAAAACACATAATAAATGCATAGTTTTTGTGATTATCTTTTTTCTATAAGTCTAAACCAATGAAAATCCAATAAATGCAATTAAGTTTTTTGAAAGTTGTAATTAATCATTATTATTTGACAAAATATACTTTGCAAATGTAAAAAAATGAAAATATACCTTGAAAATGTAAAAAAATGTATTTTTTTGAAACAAAGTTTTTTTCTAAAACATATAACATTTTGAAACAGAGAGAGTATCTGTTAGTAGTTGTGATTAATGATCATTTACACTGTTCAATGTGTTTCTGACATATCACAAGAAACTTATCTTCAAGTGGTCTTATTGGAACCATAACTGATGGCATTCAGAATCTCACATTACTAGAATCTCTGTAAGTATGTTCAGTGTTAATATATAAGAGGCAGCAAAATGTTACATGGATTCAATTTTTTGTACTAAATATCTTGAAACCATTAGGGACCTGTCCAATAATAATTTGATTGGAGAGGTGCCCGAGTTTTTAGGCAACATGAAATCGCTGGTGTTCATGTAAGTTTCTCTTTACATATTATGGCAATACTTTTCAAATTCCACCTCCATTCAATTTCATTTATATAATTATATGCATATGTTCAAAGTTTGTTCCTCTTTATTTTAAACAGAAACATAAGCATGAACGATCTTAGTGGTTTGATTCCTCAGGCTCTTCAGAGGAAAGGACTAGAGTTATTGTGAGAAACTTTTCACCTACAGTATAAAAAGTTTCAGTTATTGTCCAAAACCCGTAAGTGTAACTACTGTCTTGAAACAAAACTTTGTGTTTTTGTAGTTCTGAAGGGAACCCAAGACTTTGCCTATCTGGTTCATGCCTACCTCCCAAACCGAAGCCATTTCCAGTTGCAATTGTCGCATCAGTAGCATCTGTGGCAATTATCATTGCTGTTTTGGTACTTACTTTTGTTATTAGGAAGAAAAAGCCGTCAATTGTGGGAGGTAACTTTCAAGAAAACAATTCCGACTATATTTTAGTTTTTTGTCCCCTAAAGTATTTCTTATCCACAGGTCAACAACCACCGCCTAATATATCGTCAGCTGTGAATGTTACGTATGCAAATTCACTGGTTTCATCAATCCAAACCAATAAGAGAAATTTTACATATTCAGAGGTCATTAATATGACAAACAACTTCCAAAAGGTTATTGGGGAAGGAGGATTTGGTATCGTCTACCACGGTACTCTAAATGGTTATGGACAAGTAGCTGTTAAGCTCCTTTCTCAATCATCAACTCAAGGCTATAAGCAATTCAAGGCAGAAGTATACATACTTTTTTTTAAATAAAGTTTATGAGTATCCTTATTAGCATCACAATCTTATGGTCTTTGTGTGTGTTTTCTATATCAATGATTAGGTTGATTTTCTTATGAGAGTTCACCACATAAATTTGGTAAACCTGGTAGGATACTGTAACGAAGGTGATCACTTGGCTTTGATATATGAGTTTGTGCCCAATGGGGACTTAAGCCAACATCTGTCTGGTAAACTTAAAAAAAAAAATAAAAAAAAATTATATGTAACAATAGCTCGCGAAACCATTATATAAATGGATCTAACTATTTAACATGCAGGGAAAGGAGGTACATCCATTATCAATTGGGGTGTTCGACTACAAATAGCTGTGGAGGCCGCATCAGGTTTGTTTTAAGCTGGGCCATATATAGACCAAGAAATGACTATTTCTTCCATTTTTAAAGATGTTGTACATGAATCCATTCCACAGGTTTGGAGTACTTACACACTGGGTGCATACCACCGATGGTTCATAGAGATGTCAAAACCACAAACATATTGTTGGACGAGCGGTTTAAGGCCAGGCTTGCTGATTTTGGGTTGTCGAGATCTTTTCCAGCAGGAGATGAATCTCATGTTTCGACGATGATTGCTGGTACTCATGAATACCTTGATCCCGAGTAAGGATTGTTAGTTAACAGCACAACATGCTGGAAATATTTTCTCCTTCAATGGTTGAATAATATGTTTAGATAACAATATGCCATTTTCATTGCCTTGCAGATATTACCAGACAAATCGGTTGACTGAGAAGAGCGACGTGTACAGCTTCGGGATTGTGTTACTAGAGATGATCACAAACCAACCTGTGATTGACCAATCCCGTGAAAAGTCTCACATAATAGAGTGGGTTGGGTTTGAGGTAACTAGCGGAGATATAAGGAGTATCATGGATCCAAACCTTCAAGAAGACTACGACTCTGATTCTGCATGGAGAATTTTTGATTTAGCAATGTCATGTGTAAATCCTTCTTCCAAAAGACGCCCAAGCATGTCTCAGGTTGTTGTGGAACTGAAAGAGTGTCTTGCGTCTGAAAAATCTAGGAGAAATATGAACAGAGGCAGGAAGGACTCTCATAGTTCGGCTGAAGTGACCGTGCTCCTTGACACTGAGATGTTTCCTGTAGCTAGATAGGATGAATCATTAGGATCTAAAGATTCTACATGTGTTGTGTAATAAGCTTTTGGATATAGAAGTATGCCCAAAAGGAAAAAAATTAACAAATATTCTATTTTCACTATTTATGAGTAAGATTTTAATTTATGAAAAATTGAACATGAGTTTGGCCATTTGGATGATTCCTGGGGGAAAAGGGATCGCGTCCTCTGTATTAGCTTGCGAGTGTTGTCCTCATGTAATTCTAATATGGAATCAATAAATCAATCATTTGATCGTAAAATAGTTTGTTTTTTTTGCTAAATACGTAAAATAGGTTTAAGAAACCTATTTATTAAAGGGAATTTGCATTGTATAACACAAAAAAAAAATTATAATTCATTCTATGGCTAAAAGACCTAAGTTACTAACTTATACTGTACATTTTATATAATAATGCTATTATACCCTTGTAGAAAACCGGTGAAACCTGCACACAAAAAACCATTTTAATTAATAATTAGTGATTGTAAAGACTAAAAAGTAAAACGTGGCCTTCCTTTACGCACTCACTTTTTACGAAACAAGCTTTTAATCGTAAAATCTGGAAGACATCGCAATAGAAGATATCCTCCGGACTCCGAAAGCCCATGCATGAGGACACCGTAACAGGAGATATCCTCCGCCTTGGAAATCAGACGTCCCTCGCGGCAATAAAATTACAGCGATGCCTATTGAAATCTCGTGTCTATTCCACTTCCCACACTCGATTATTGTCGAATCTGTTCAACTACGGTAACTCCGGATGTCCCAATGCGGCGACGAAAGCACGGTCGACAATCAAGGAACAAGCGACGCTGAAGTAAAATCCTACCCGGTGACTGTCATAAAACCTTTCTGATTCCTAATTGTACCACCTAGTTACAAAATTCTTGTACACTACTGTAAGTCCTTTTCACTGATTCTTGAATCTGAAATTCCATGTATATTGCATGATTTCTGTGTCACAAATGTTACAAGTTATCCTCTTTTGGTTGCATGTGGGATTATCTCCGCCTTTTTCCAGATCGGAGTCTAACCAATTTTTAAGTGAATGTACTATTCGATGTCAGCGGCGGATATTCTATTTACATACGGTTCTATAGTCTAAATAATGTTGGCCAAGCCTTGACCGTAATTGTGCTGAATGTTCCAGTTTGTTATCATAGTATGTCCGAGTTGTTGCTTTGTTTTCCATAATCTAAAATTGGAAGTCAAAGATTTGTTCTTTTTTTTTGTAAATTAAAAATATTATCTTATATCTACTATACATATACTATTATGGATAGAGAGGGTATACTATGGCTTTTGGAGTAAAAGAAATTAGTATCATAGTATGTACGTTCTATTTGGGTTTATAGGTCATTGTTTAGAGTTTAGATGTCTGCTTATATCCTGCTTTGTAGATTATGAGTCTTGCCAATTTTTAATGTGAGAGACTATTCTATTTTCCCAGATGAGCTATTTTAATTTTTTTTTTAATTTTCTTACACTGCAAGTACTATACTTACTCAAAAGTACATATACTATTAATTCTGGAGGCTTTATACTATTTATTCTCCAGTAAGAGAAACTAATAAGAAAGTATAAACATTGTATTTGAGTTTATACGTTAGTGATTAGGGTTTAGATGTAGTATATACAACCCTTTGTTCCCAAAATCTTAAATTGGAACTGAACAAATTGTTGTATTTTTTTTTGTAAAAAACAAGTACTATCCTTTCTCCACTATACATATATTATTCTAGATAGAGGGTGTATACTATGACTTCTGAAGTATAAGAAATTGGTAGCATAGTATATACATGCAATTTGGGTTTATAGGTCAGTGCTTATGGTTTAAATGTTTAATTATCTCCCGCTTTGTAAGTTTTGAGTTGTGCCAATATTTATATTTTCCCGGATGAGCTATTTTCAAATTTCTTTAACTCTGTTACATTGCTAGTTCTATACCATCCAAAACATACATATACTATTATTTCTAGCGGTTCTATACTATGTACAATCCAGTAACAGAAATTAGTAGCAAAGTATAAATATTATATTTGGGTTTACAGGTCAGTGATTAGGGTTTAGATGTAATAAATATAGTTTTGTCTTTTGGTTTAGTATTTAATCGGATTGGGTTATAGGTCACTGATTAGGGTATATGTTTACTATATGCGGTTTTTGATAGGAGACAGTGGTTTTTTGTAACATAGGTGGTGGTGGCCTTGATGATGGTCGTTATTGCAGTGGTGATTAAGATGGTGGTTACGCATGAAGGAGTGGCCATTGATACAAAGAAAACAGTAGGAATCTGTTTTACTCATCGCAATATGTCTTTTCTTCCACCATTGTCACAATCCATTTTCTTCTTCTCTTACACTTATTGTACCAAGAACGAAATATCGACTTGATATTGAACAAGACTGTGCATCCGATTGGGGGATACAAGTTTAGGAATACCAGTGTGAAGGTGGTGCATAGTGTCGCAATGGAAAGGATATAGCTTTATGATTGTATAAGCATTTGAATCTATTTGTAATTGAAGTAGCCTACATATATTGTAACAAAATAGGACATCCTTCTGATCGTATAGTATGGAACTTCTGCATGTATATATGAATCGCAGTTTGTGGATTTCTTCTTGGAATGAACTGTTGTTTCTAACCAACAAAACTAAATAGAATAATATGAGTTAATGTCGAATATAATAGAAACATTGTATTGGTTAATCAAAAGTGTACATAGAGTACTACTCTTTCTAGATTTTGAAATTTGGATTTAGGATTTATACTTGAGTTTAGGGTTAATATTTGGGCTTAGAGCTTAGTGATTGGGGTTTAAGGTTTAGTATTCACAGGGTGGGATTAGTTATATGATTCAAAAAATTAAATACTTGATATAATTTTTTGATAATTTTATTAAATTCTAATAAACTCTATGTTCATTTGTAAATAGAATAGACTCTTTATTCTATATTATTTATGGATGTTGTTCTATTATATTGGTTTTCACATAGAATACAATGGTGCTAGCATTGCTCCATCTTTTGTTATCTTTATTTTAATACAATGGTGCTAGCATTGCTCCATCTTTTGTTATCTTTATTTTTTTTCCCATTAATTGGATAACTCATTTCCATTCCAGCAAATATCAAACACGTATCTTTCTCTCCATGCAACCGGCAACTTGCAACTATTAGGGACAAAAACGGACTCTAGTAGGGCTAATTATCAGCAAATGAATTCAGTCAAAATCAGTGCTATATTCTTCATTTTCATTAGTGTTTTGTATATTAAGCAAATTCTCCCTTTATTAAACTTGTAAATGTATGACTTGACTCGGCAAAGTCTTTCTTTTGGCCATACATTCTACTTTTATCCTCCGCTGGTCAATGTTTTTCTTGTTGCCCGTAACTTCCATCATTCATATTATTCAAGCGCAAGACCAACAAGGTTTTCAGAAGTGTTTTTGGTTTTCAGAAGTGTATTCTCTCGAGAAAAACATGTTGCCCATTTTTTTACCAAGAAAATTATAAACAGACGTATTGGCAGGACAATGTCCCTAGTCAAGTTCGTTGCAATAGAAATAGAAAGTGAAACATCCCGACCTGGAAATATTTGAAAAGAAAACACGTTTAAATTCTAAATAAAGATCTGACTAATATTTATCGCATGAATACGAATAAATACTACAATTTTATTAATGAAAACGAAAATCCTTTACTTAAAAATCCTTACTGTTACTTCATAATAGTTTGATCAAAACTCCTAAAACATTACCCCCAAATTAAATATTCCCGATGGTCTTTACAGTCTTGCACTCTGGTCCACGCAATGAAACATTACCTACATCACATAAGGAAGCATGAGCATACAAAAATACTCAGTGAGGATGCTCAAAACCGTCCACATGCAACCCATAACATCTAGCAACCTAGCATTCCATTCAATTCTAACAACCTACCATTCCAATTCATTTTAGCAACCTAACATTTCATTACATTCTAGCAACCTAGCATTCCATTCATTCTAACAACCTAGCATTCCATTCCGTACTATTATCCTAACATTCCATTTCATTCTAGCAACCTAACCATTCATTCCATGCTTACATTTAACCTTTTTCGATTAGTTAAAACCTTTTACTTTTCTTTACTTTTACTCATCCTCGACCTTCGGGGATGCCTTTTACATTTAACCTCTTTCATTTTACCATCAAAACAAACAATCTAGCATGCTTTTTATCCTAAGAACCCGAAGAACGTTCTTTGATCTCTAAAATTACTTCGAAAAACGAAGAAGGAACTTTCTGTATAACACAATATCTGTTCATACATCCTTACATAACCGGATATAATTCGCTAATATCTATGCTATCGAGTTGCCACGAATCACATCCTCACGTGGATTAATCTTAAAAGATCGAAGACTATGAACCTAGCTGCGTTTTTCCGGCGAAGAATCATGCGATCCTCCTCTCTCGATCCTCTCTTCCCAAACTCTCTAACTGCGTTCTTTCTATGACCTCTCTTTAACTTTCTTTTTGATTTGTGTCTAGAAATGAGAGCTAAATCACTCTTTTATACACTTTCTTGACTTGTTCACCAAGCCGGGAATTTAGTGCTCTTTCCTTATTTAGCTCTAGTCAAACTTTGTCATCAAGTCTTGAATAATCTCTACACTTCTTTCCTTCTATGACTCTCGTTGTCCTGATCTTCTTTTCGTAGGATCCCGTCAATGATGATCAGTCAAACTTTCTTTATTTGAAATCCGCATTGTCTAGCAGCCAAACATTCTTTTTTACCGTCACTCAACCCAATCTGAAATTCTTCCAAGCTCTCATTGCACATCTAACACATAGCCAAAATACAGTTTCTTCGTCCCATCTTCAATGAATACAAGTGTTTCCACACTTAGAAAAAAATTCTTTGTAGAATAAAAACTTTCCATTATCTATTTTTTTCAAAATCAAAATACTCTGGGAAGGGGTCGTTATAAAAAGCCTATTTACTTTTTGTTTTTATACTCCGTGGAGATCGATAGGATTTCTCTTTTGGATCTGAAACGCATGCATATATATCAGACTTATAATCACCTATGTACAAATGCTAGTGTCATGCCGTGGATAATAATCACCTTTGTTAAGCTTACAAGAGTCACAAATTAGTGAGAGCTGTCAAACTGATAAGGAGTTTTTAATCCTTAAGCAAATCAAAGTAGTATTTTAGATGTCAATCCAAGTTCTAAGTGTTTTGATTCAAAGAGATTACAAGCTATGCTTAATCTAAATGCAATCAGTTTAGAGAGTGTGAAATGATTAAAAAAAAAAGAATACAAAATGCAAGAAGTAACAAGCTTTCTCTCAATTAGTGAAGGTAAGACTCATGGGAGTAGGTATATGGTTTCGGTGATCAAGATTCAATCCTAGGTAGCAAGCTTTCAATCAAGATGTTTTCCTTAAGTCTAAACAACTTAGCTAAACAAATTCTAGGTCTAGACAAGTGCTCATTTGTTTTTTTTAATCAAACACAAATGATCATTGGCTTAATCAATTCAAACAATCATTAAGAACAAGTTTAATAACTATTTAAAACTCCCTAGATACAAATGGTCATTGGCTAGGTGGTTTTAAAGCTAGGAGAGTTGGCTCAGACATTTAAACAAACAACCTATGGGTGGTAAATGGCTAATGATCATGATTAAAGAGGCCAACAATAATCAAGCATTAAAATCACTCAACTAACAAGGAAACACCTAGATCTAACACCTTAGATCTACACTTGATCACCCTTGCCAGCCTATCCTATGAATCTAAAATGGATCTACTCACTAATCCACATGATTAACTCAACAACAATGGTTGATTGTTGGTTAAACATGATTAGAGATCAAGATTACTCTACAAACTTAAGAGAATAAGATGAAAAGAAGATAAAGTTATGATCTTTCACCAAATAGTACTTAGTTTCAAAGAGAAAATACAAGATAAGTCTAAAGATTAGGTCTACAAAGTATTTATAGAAGCTGGAAAAACGAGGGTACAATGGTAAATAGATCTGGTCAAACTTCGTATGTTGACTTTCTGAACGCTCGCAGCTGTTTGCTGTAACAGCTCAACCAGGCCGCTGTAGCGCACAGCTGTTTCCCAGCTTTATCTCACGGCCGCTGCATAGTCCAGAAATTGGACAGGGACTTGGGTTATTTCCTAGCTGTTAGTGGCTACAGCGACTGCTCGAAAAAGCTCCATTTGACCGCTGGGACACTTGAACTTTCGTGAATTAGCTCCAAAACAATCATTCTTGCCTTCAAAATATCCATTTTGCCTCCAAAGTCACCATTTGGCATTTTCATCACCTAACAAGGACTCATGAAATAGAATGCACCCTAAACATGTCTAAATTTTATCCTAAATGATCAAAATATACAAGATTAGATGACTAAAACAATGCAAATATGTAAGACATCACAAACAAAGAGAATTCTTCATTAAGGTGTCTTAACTAATTGGTTTCTTTGCATGTGTTTACTCTTGAGTTTCACGCCATGAAAGATCACAAATCAAGTATTGTAGAAAATCGAAGGAAAAGAATATGGATTGTGAGTTCTTATTCGATGATATTTAACCCTAAATGATTATCAAATTAGTGAGAATTAGAATGGAAATTACTCTACGATATATAACTGATTCTCTTTTGATATAGCAATTTGTTCTATAGCGTGCGTTTGGGTCTGCTCCATATAATTCCATTGGTAAGTCGGTGATAGTGATGTTGGATCTTAACCCACCTTCTTCCCTGGGTGAAGCTGGCCTGAAAAGTCTTTCTTTTTAGTGTATGATTTGGGTTTGCTTCTTTATTGGCTACTCTTTCCATTCTTCTTGTTGCATTGTGGAAACAAATTATTGACTTGTAAAATTTCAATCTTTTCTTCTAGTGTACAATTTGGTTTTATTTGTTTATTCACTATTTATATCTCTCACTTTCGTTTTTGGTAAAACACTATTTATCTCTCACTGGCTTTCTTGATTATTTCCTCGGGAGTTGATAAGATATGGAGAGTTCTTTCTGGCTTCTGTTGGTGCTGATTACAACGTTGGCCATCATTCGTATTATTCAAGCTCAAGACCAAGAAGGTATCTTGATTTTCTATATACATCCTACATTTTTGTACTAACGTTTTTTTTCTTTAATGTCTGTTAACACTCAACAGGGTTCATCAGTTTGGATTGTGGGCTACCTGCAGACGAACAGTCTCCTTATACTGAGCCTAATTCCAAGCTGAACTTCTCATCTGACGTAACATTCATCCAGAGTGGGAAAACTGCTAAAATTCAGGTGTATGTACAGATGCCATACACAACGATAAGATACTTTCCAGATGGAATACGGAACTGTTACAATCTGAATGTGCAGATGGGACGTAAATATTTGATTAGAGCTTCCTTTATATATGGAAATTACGATGGTCGTGACAGGTCACCGGTTTTCGATCTCTATCTTGGACCTAATCTATGGGCCACGATAGATGTTGGAACATGGGTGAGTGGTATATGGATAGACATTTTACACACCCCAACATCAAACTTGTTGCAGATTTGTCTTGCTAAGACTAGCGATACTACACCGCTAATATCAGCTCTGGAATTACGGCCCATGGGAAATGACTCTTATACCACTAAATCTGGCTCCCTGAAACGTCATAACTGGTATTATCTTAGCAACTCAAGTTCTTCTAGTATACGGTAAGTCAATATTTCTTTTTGAATTAATGTTAAATAAACTCAAATTTGTTTTTATAGTAAATTTAACTTTGGTACTTTTTAACTCTCAAGAGGAACATGATTTTAATCGTTTTTAAGCTATGGCGCTTGGGCTTGCCAAATTCAACTGAACATATCAATGAAATTGTGCCTTGAAATAATTAACCCATTGTTAAAACAAGATTGTTCCCACCATCCAGGTACTCAAGAGATATCTATGATCGCGTATGGGTATCGCACTTTCAGACGGAATGGACCGAGATTTCCACTGATCTAGACGTGGTCAATTCCAACAAATATGCTATACCGAAAGACGTACTAAAGAATGCTGCCGTGCCTACTAATGTCAGTGCGCCATTGACGATCGAATGGATTCCCAAAAATCCTGATGATCAATACTACTATTACGCACACTTTGCTGAGATCCAAGACTTGAAGGCCAATGAAACTAGGGAATTCAACGTGCTATGGAATGGAGTACATCAGTCTGGCCCATTCATTCCAAGAATGCGAATCATAGATACTATCTCTAGCAACTCACCGCAAATTTGCAGTGGAGGGAAATGCATTTTCCAGTTGATAAGAACCAATAGATCAACTCTTCCACCTCTACTTAATGCTCTTGAATTCTACTCAGTTGTTCAGTTTACACAGTCTGAAACAGTTAAAAGCGATGGTATGTGACTTTCTTTTCCATGTTATGCATATAAGATCTATGCTTTGCTATGTTGGTAACAAATAAAAAATAAACCATAAATCCAACAGAGAGTATTCAAGAGATCAAAACTTCTTCTTTTTTTTTTCTTTGTGTCAGTGGGTGCTATAAAACACATAGCAGCCACCTATGCATTGAATCGAATCAGCTGGCAAGGTGATCCATGCGTCCCTCAACAGTTTAGGTGGGACGGTTTGAACTGCACCGACACGGATAAGTCCATGCCCCCAAGAATCACTACTTTGTAAGTCATTATAAGTTCACTAAAGTACACGTAACTACTCTTGAGGATCTGTTACTAATCGTGATCATTAATTAACACTTTTGAATGTGGTTTTGAACATTTTACTAGAAACTTGTCTTCAAGTGGTTTAACTGGAACAATAGCCGCTGCCATCCAAAATCTTACGCAGCTAGAAATAATGTAAGTACTAATCTTGTTACCTGAAGACCATAAACTGTATTATATATGGATTGGAATAAGTTTTACAAACGTTTTAATTTCTTTATTATATTCTCTATTTTAAACTTCAGGGACTTGTCGAATAATAATTTGACTGGAGGGGTGCCAGACTTTCTAGCCAACATGAAATCATTGTCGATCATGTACGTTTCTCTCAGCATATATATTCTCTTACGCTTATAAATGCTACCTAAGATCATGGTTGTTTTTAACAGAAACTTAAGCGGGAACAATCTCAATGGTATAATTCCGCAAGCTCTTCAAAGGGAAGGACTAAAACTATTGTAAGAAACTCTCCACAGAGAATTATGAATTTTTTTTACGGTTGTTATCCATAACCTGTTCTGTGCGTTTACTGATGTCATGGACAACCCTTTTCTTCTCGTAGCGTTGAAGGAAATCCAAGGCTTTGTTTCTCTGATTCATGTATAAAACCACATAAGAAAAAAGCAGTTGTGCCAATTGTTGCATCAGTTGCTTCTGCAGCTATTGTCATTGTTATATTGGTTCTTTTTCTTGTACTCAGATATAAAAAGTCAGCAGTTCTACAAGGTATTTGCAAGAGACATCAACTAATAATACTGTTTCTCTGTTGCAATAAAAGAAGAGAAATAATAATATGATAACATCCATATTCTGATGTACAGGTCAACCTAGGAAGTCAAGGATGAAGCTCAAGTTTGCTAATAAAAACAGCAGAAGATTCACACATTCAGAGGTCATACAAATGACAAATAACTTCCATAGAGTTTTAGGTAAAGGAGGATTCGGCATGGTGTATCATGGTACTGTAAACGGTTCTGATCAAGTGGCTGTTAAAGTATTCTCTCAATCTTCAACTCAAGGCTATAAAGAATTCAAAGCAGAGGTATTAATAGTTCTGAAATTAACTTCCCAGCTAAACAGTGATATGTTTTAGTATCACCAATGGTTGTGCCTTTCAAGCTTTTCTTGACATGAGTCTTACCTTAGGTTGATGTTCTTGTGAGAGTTCACCATACAAATTTGGTGATCCTCGTTGGGTATTGCTATGAAGGTGATCACCTGGCCCTCGTTTATGAGTTTCTTCCCAATGGCGACTTGAAACAACATTTGTCAGGTTATACTAGACATAAGAGATTTCACGTGTAGGATTAACTCATGAAACATGAATGGATCTAACGATCTAATATACAGGAAAAAGAGGTAGACCCATCATTAACTGGAGTGTCAGGCTACAAATAGCTTTGGATACAGCGCTAGGTTCGTACTAAGCTAAAAATAATTGTAGGGAAAGATAGTATATATTGTTACAACTTGTGTTACAGCAACCAGTTGATAATAAATCCATTTCATAGGATTGGAGTACTTACATATTGGATGCACACCACCAATGGTTCATAGAGATGTCAAAACAGCCAACATATTGTTAGATGAGAATTTCAAGGCCAAACTAGCTGATTTTGGGCTCTCGAGATCTTTCCAAAGTAGAGGTGAAACTCAAGAGTCAACGGTGATTGCTGGTACTGTTGGATACCTTGATCCCGAGTAAGTATCTTTATTTTTTACATACAAACACATGCTGCTCTGAATCATTATATTCCTTCATCAATAGTTACGGAGTATTACCATGTCCTTGTCTTCCAGATATTACCGTACGGGTCGGTTGGCTGAGAAGAGTGATGTCTATAGTTACGGGGTCGTTTTATTGGAGATGATCACAAACCAACCTGTTATCTCTAAAGAGTATCACATAGTAGAATGGGTTAGCGCTACGCTTAACCAAGGTGATATAAACGAGATCATGGATTCAAACCTTGGTGGGTTTTATGAATCTAATTCTGCGTGGAGAGCTCTTGAGTTGGCAATGTCATGCGCTGATCCTATTTCCTCAAAACGACCAACCATGTCTCAGGTTATTATCGAGCTAAAAGAGTGTATTGCTTGTGAGAACTTAAGGATGAGTACAGTCCAGGCTCGGAGTCCTTAAATTAACATTGGCTTGGATAGTTCGGTACTTTCTGGGGCAAGTTTGTTTTGTGTGTTGTCAATTTTTCGTACTGATATTTCATATTTTTAATGAGTTTTAGATTCACATTTTAGCTTATTATGGTCATGAGGTTGCATATTAGGTGTATATATTGCATTAGATTGTTCATTTGCATATAACAGGGTCTAGATTGCACATTTGGAAGTTTTGGGCGACATTGGAAGGTTATTTCTGCAATTTATAAAGGTTCAGGGGCCGTTTTATAAAGAAGCAGAACTTCAGGGACCTGTTTTGTAAAATTCCAGAACTTGGCCATTGTTGTCTCACGAGCTCTGTGGCTCCAAATCTCGACGGCGACCCTGCTCGACTCCGACGGTGTGGCTCACCGGAGCACTACCACGGGCTGAGAGCACGACAACGACGGAACGGATGTAGGTGGCT